CGGCTTACATTTAAAACCTTCGCTTATTGTTCATCCTTAAGACTTTTGTATTAACTGATGTAAATTCGGGACATAAAGATTTTCACTGACAATAGTCTTGACTCTAATTGTAAACAATAAGCATTATCTCCGTCTGAAGCATCGTGATTCCAGCAATGGAGAGATTGCCTACAATCGAACCGGATAATTATGAACTATTTTTTGAGAGAAGCACTGTTATCGTTAAGTGATAACGACCAATAATTGCTCCCAGATAAGCTGTTTCTAACTCTTTTTGAATTATATTATGATTCTAAAAGATGGGAAAAACCTAAGTTGTGGCACAAGAAATCGTTCGACAATTTATACTTAAATAATAGTTTTAATTTTAGATATAAGGTGCAGGAGGGAGAGCTGAAATGTTGTAATAATGATGATGATGATGACGACGACGACGATAATAATAATAATAATAATAATAATAATAATAATAATAATAATAATAATAATAATAATAATAATAATAATAATATTATTATTATTATTATTATTATTATTATTATTATTCTTATTATTATTATTATTATTATTATTATTATTATTATTATTAGTGTGAATTTAATTTAGTGATTGGACCTATAAACACCACTTTGAATTTTTGAAATTTCGAACTCATTCAAATACCATCGTAATAGCCATTTTCCAAGTATTCTTAGGGTGATTTTTCATTTCAATCAGATTCTTACCTACATTTATTTTGGCAACTGGGGCGGATCCTTCTCTCTGCACCCTATGAATTATTTTAAAATTTAAACACAGAGAAAAATATATTATGTTTGCAAGCAGATTATTAATAGTACTGTTGACAAGCACACTAAGGCTAGGGGTGATTTGAAAGTTAAAGTATTAAAGAGAAAACAAAATATAATTCGTCACGAAATAATCCTGGCTTTGCTATTCGGATATATCTGAATAAGGGAATTAGAAATCCAACTTGATGGCAACGAATTGGTATTTCAACTCTCCCTCCTGGCTAACACCCGAGGTTGTTCTTCCCTTTGCACCCCATTAGTACACAACTGATTCCAACCTTATTTTTTCCCCATGAAAATCCACCAGAGGTGCTTAATAATACGTTATTTTAAAAAAACCCTGAACGGAGCTAATAATAATAATAATAATAATAATAATAATAATAATAATAATAATAATAATAATAATAATAATCATGATGATGATGATGATGATGATGATAATAATAATAATAATAATAATAACAACAACAACAACAACAACAATAATAATGATATTAAAAATGAGCGCGCTTAACTGGTTAAATCTCTTCTGCCGTATTTGTTTATATTCTGCATGAATATTCCATGTGTATAATGTAAAGATTATTTAGTTAATCGTCATATTTTGTGTACATACACATAAACTCATACACATATAAAGAATATTAGGTAAATCGTCATTTATTGTGCACATAAACATAAACTTAAAAATTAATACTGGTTAAACATTCATATTTATTACGATTGATAATATTTTAAAAAGACACTTTTACACACACGTATCATAACAAAATGTTGTTCTTGTCGGTACAACGCTATTTTCCAGCACATGATAACGCGTGAAGACTGTCTGGCGAGAACTAGATCACTAGGAAATTCAGGCGTAGCTCATGCTATGGGGTGATAATACGTCTTCCAATATGCGTCAGGAATTTAAAAAAAAGTTCAATAACTTCTGAGAGATTAATATTAAAGTGTGAGAATATTTAGGGTGATTTAATAGCATGGGTAAAAGGGAAGGATTTTACTTTAGATATGCATATAATGGTAGTCGAATCAAATAATTAAGTTTATAATTACTAGCGAGCGGTCGATAGTCTGAACTGAAAGGTAGCCGAAAATTTCATTCCAAATTTTGCCGCGCACAGTTCGTCTCTACCACCAGAAATGTAAAAACTGCGGAGAATGATTGGTTAAAGAGTTACGTGGCTCTCTTGAATTTTTGCTGACCAGTATCAGATATTATACCATCTGGAGTTTTCACTCCCATGATTGTTTAACAAAAGTGAAACGAAGTTGTCGTGGATTTGAACTATTCGCTTGATTAGAAGAGAGACCACTGCAGTGAACTAGGTGATACTTTAAGGGTTTACAAAATTTCACGTAAGAGTTGAGAACTGCATAATAATTGGGTTTAGATTTATTTTAGTGCCAGCGTCATTTAGGGAACTCAGTAATCTGACAGTGTAGGATAATTTTCACGCTAGACGCTAGACTATGCTTACTTCTACACGAGATCTTTAAAACCATTCTAAGTTTTGTAATAACTGTAGTCTAGTCCCCTGCTTAGTATGTTCCCTGCGATGCACTCCGCAGTGCATCACAGGGAGCATATTAAGCAGGGGACCAGACTATAATAACTGCAGTTTCCATACGATAAAATTTTCCTTTTGTTACGTCTTTTTTGCTGTCATATTTTATTTATTTTTTACAGAAAACAAATTTCAAAATAAAGAGATGATAATGTACAATAATATATGTTTTTATGATCATTGAAACTGAGATATATTTAAATTATAATAAAACATATTTGATGTATTCAACGTTAAGACTCAATGAATTTGCATTCAAAGTTAAGACTTACCTGAATATGGACCAGGTTTCAATAACACCTCTAAAATGACGGAGAGCTTCATAAGACATTTGTGTAATGTAAATCAATGTCTGGAACCCGTTTTTTTTTTTTATCACGACTTAACAATAATAGAGTGCTTTAGAAAACATCGTTACCCAGTGTAATCCAATATCCAGGGTCAGGTTTTAAGCACAATCAAACAAAGTTAGGATTGCATCAGAGGACAAATTGACGTTCACCAATGTAGACCAATGCAGTTGAAGCTGATTGTAATCACTACTTTGCAATGGTATACTTGTTGAAAAAGAGTATAAAGTTATCGGACATGAAAAAATGTCTCTGTGTCTGATAAATTTATACTGTTATAGGGGCTACTCTTTTACACGGAGAGCATATACAGATACGCCGTGTATTATAAATAAGCTAATTAGGATAAATCACTTGTTAGTATAGCTGCGTGTTATTAATTATAACCACGTAAGCAAAAGAGAGGTGGTTAATTAGATTTGGTTGTCGTTATCTAGAGGATGACCTCCCTCGATTAGACAAGAGAACAACAATTGAAACAATAACATAAACTAATAGTGTCAGCTTCAATTCAAACAAATTTACGTTTACAGAATTTCAAAAGCGGTATTATTATTGATTCATTTCATCATGATGACGATTTTTGTGAAACGAGCACAATGTACACGCCTGATCTGCACCACCTAGCGTCTCTTCCTGTCTTTGTCTCCCTATATCTAACGTCCTTCAACTTCCATGTGTATAGGTTTAATCTTTCTTGATCATTTTATCTTGATCTCTTGTCCGGATTTCCGTCTTTTGGACAGTCCCGACATTCCAGAAAGCTGTTTCCCTGAATGACAAGATTACCACTCAGCCTTTATTTGTATCACCTTCTATATGTATATAAAATTCTGTCAACTTCGTTACTCGGAAAGCATAAACTAGCTATCCAAACACTGCATACATTCAGACATAAGGTGATCTTAATTATTAATGGTCCTTACAAATTTGGACTGCATTTTGAGTAAGGTGCAATCATTATCTCTAGTTACAAAGGATCCCAGTAAAAAAAACCCATCTACGTCTGACCTAATTCCGTTCACAGTGACTGACCATAAACTAGCATGTGAGAGGTACATCTAAACAAACATTTCCGTATCTCTCTGCATACGCTACTACATGAATCCTTTGACATCCAACCTAGTCTGGTCCACTCAACAAAACGCATGCTATCGATTACTATTAAAAAATTCACTAACTTCAAGCTCACGGTAATCCATAACCTACAAGATTTTTTAAGCACAAAAAATTAGTTATAAATAAGGAGCTACCGTTAACTCAAGATATACCGTATTGTCCTAACAGACAAAGGAAAATAATTCATATAACCCGATGAAATCCTACACATCCCAAAATTTGGATCGCATGCAATCAGCCAACTCTATCAATGAGCTAGTAACTAAAATAAGTTAAGGAAATAAAATGCATAAACAACTCAAGCATATCAACAGATTACCATCAAATCGAATAAACGATACATATCATGGATCCCAGGCATGTCAAACACATTTGCATAAAACAAAACAAATGGAAAATTGCATTAAAAATTAAAATGGCGTACCTTAATGCTGTTCTTTTCAAGAAAATGTGCGTCGCAGCACTAAAGGATTGTCTTTCCTTACAAGACAGCCACCTGGTCTCTTTATTTGTCTTAACGAGGAAAGAACTACTCTTTTGTTTTTCCCAGGAGTCAAACGAGTCTTGTTTCTTTTGCAGGAAAATCTCCGACTGAGAAAATTCGCCCAAACGTGTTACTTTAAATTCAACATTTCTTTCAGGGTGCACGTCTTAAGTTAAAATGACCAATCATAATATTAACCTCAGGATAATTATTTCTTTCGTCCGATTAGACAGCCTAGAATCCGAGAAATACGACACATATCAACTTGCTTTTGTCAAATGACTATTCGACATGGCTTTTCAAATAATCGGTAAGGTCGGTATATTAATGTTTACTTTCCCAGGACAGTTTTGCAATGCCCGGACCAATTCTAAATTAGCCGTAGATGCTGGGCTCTCCCTCTACCACGAAATGTAATAACTGACATAGGAAAAGCCCAAACTGAATCTTCACTTAAAACCTTGCTGGCTTGACTGTAATAAAATTTTAATGTACAATGTGTTTAATTTTAAGGTTCAATACTTGCTTAAAATTCGACACATTCCATTAATAAACACTAGAAATGTGGCACGATGTCCCAACCAGTCACATTATCCTTACATCAGATCAACCTGTCCTAACACTAACCTCTTAATGCTGAGCACCAAGCAAGGCCACTATTAGTACTATTTATGTAAGTCTTTGGTATGAGTAGCCGGGGATCGAACCCATGACCTCACTTATCCGAGGAAAACGCTCTAACCCCTGAGCCATCGGACCCGTATAACACTAGTATGCGATTTCTTCTATAAAGCCTAGGTGAAATAGATTATGGTTTTGTATTCATGCCACCAGATCGTACTTCATTTCAATTCCTTATTGTCTTATGTAATCTGTTTTTGATGATCTAATTCGAAAGAAAATTCCTTTCCAGGTCCGTTTTTTGATGCTGTTAAAGTTATCGTATTGTAGAGCAAATTGGATTGAGGCATTGATATTCTTTGCTTTGAAAAAAAAATACCCCCAATCCCTCCCAATTTGTTCTTCGTTTTAGGCTTTGAGTTCGATGCGATGAAAAGTAAGCTTTTCAACACGGAGCAAAGCTTACTTTTTGATTTTTTTTTGCAGGTTGAAATCTTTGACAGAAGAGAGTATGGCATGGTGGGGTGCTAATAATATTGGAAGTAATCTGAATGAATGGCAGTATCCAGTAAACGAATTTTCTTGGGGAGATGGGAATCTTGAAAGTAAGCTTAAATCTCTTGAGTATGTTGGAGAATTTAATTTTTCTCATCAAGTATGGAACAACGCCACCGCTTTAGTAGATGAAGTTCTGAAGAAACTATTGGTTGAAATCAACATACATGCATCCAGATTTGAGGGCCTTGTATTTGACAGGTATATAAAGCAAGGTAGTGCTCGAGAAGGTCTGAAAATTAGAGCCGCCGATGAGTTTGATGTCCTTCTAGAATACCACATCGAGGGTTTACGTATGCAACCAGAATCTATTTCGGATAGTCGGGGGCCAATTCCTGGTCTTGGAAAAATGAAGATTCTGAACCCTGATTACGAGGTCGAAAACCGCTATGCAACATGGCTTCGGAAGAAAATCATTAGCGTGAACAGAGGGAGCTACTTCTTGAATTCCCGTATCCTCCACGAGGCAGTGTTCGAGTCGCTTTTGGATAAATGCAGAGAAAATATCACGGGAAGCGACAGACAGAGAATATCTTTTGCAATATTACGGAGCATGAATCCGCCGTCAGTCAACCTCACAATCAAAATTACTCAGAAAACGGGTGGACTTTTCTTTGGAGTCACAGACATACCTGACGTCATCGACATTGATGTTGTTCCCGCTATGATACTTAAAATGGAAGAAGCTAAGGGCACCAGCGGTTTCATTGAGTGTCCAAGATATGCAGTTGTCAAGTGGATGGAAGAAAGTCAGGCCAGAGCTTCGCAATTTGAGGATCCAGCAATGATTTGGCGTCTCTGTACCTCTGGGTACGAGAAACACTACATGGATCTAGCCCGGAATGACAAAGACAAGCGTTATATCATGACTGCCTGCAGGATCATTAAAACGTTTATGAGCAAAGAGAAAGAAAAAAGTCGTATGAACCAACTTCCGCTACCTATCAGTACGTTTCTCCGCTCCTTCTACTTGAAGAACATTGCATTCTATTGCATGCTTTTCATCAAGCCTGTTAGTGGAGTTCAAGAAGCTCTAGGCCATTTTCTTGGATTCTTGAATGCTAGCTTGGAGAAGGGGAATTTACCACAGTTCTTCCATGGCAACAACTTCCTGAAGGATGATTTTCCATCATGTGCGCAGGGAGGACGGTTCAATCTGTTTGAGCATGCCTCACCAGACACCCTCATTAATGTTCGCCGCTCCTTTGGTTATGTCCTGTCACGCTTGTCGGGGATGTATGATAGTAGAGCCTTCGAATCTGACGCTTGCGCAAGGTTTCGGGATTATCTTAATCGCTAGAGTTGAATGTCACTAGCATTATCAATGTCTTGAATATTTTATTTTTATGATGCTAATTTCAATTTTACAAGCGATCGATGTTAGAAGAGATAGATAGAAAATGAACCATTTATATCTCCATAGAAACCAATATTTGAAGAATAATTTCTTATTATCTAGTTTGCAATAATGCAGTAGTTTTAATTGGAAATTTATATAAGAATATTTGAAATATCAAATGGAATTTCTGTTATGTACTATCACCAGAGTATGACCATTAAAACAGGACTGTTGAAATTGATAAACGATGGACACTAAAGCTTTTAAATTAAATTCATGTTCCTTGTGTCTCAACTACGAACACACAAGTTTCCTTCTTTTCTTAAAATGATTTCTGAATGACTTTTAGATTTTCAAATCTGTGACTTCTTTTTACACATTTCAATATTGATTATTGCGTAATTGATCCATGCTCATTTGGATAGTTTTCTTAACGGCTATGTAAGTTCTTTCGTTGCCATCTTTCAAAGACTCAAGACTGTCCTCAACACTTCGCTGTATTTTTATTCTAATTTTCTCACAACATGTGTACTTTTATCCACAGCTATTAATTTTGTCGCTTTTTAAACCATGCATCATTTTCTCATATGGATTTCTTTTCCACTGTAACTTTTCAGGTGTGCTCAAGATTTTATATTCTGCGCATTGTTTACTCAGATGCCAAACCAGTAATTTTTCCTGATGCATTTCTTTCACTTTCTTAGACTTACACAATTAAACTATTTCGCAATTTACATAATTCATTCCTTTGCTTTTTTCACCTTTTTACATCCAACCCCATCTTTTTTTCGATTATTACTACGTTAGACCTGAGATACAACCTATGGCATCACTGACCGTCACTTTTCAGGATGTACTAATTTCACAATAGAAATCTGGAAGGCGCATTAAACGAACACACTGATATACACTTACACGCATATTCTGCATTTTCGTACATGTCATACATTGCCAAAACGTATCGTAAACCTTGACTCAAATCAGGGTACTCATTTATGTCAACCTTTATGTTATGAAAGTAAAGGTTCTATTTACAATGGTGACGATTAAATTAAAATTTATGTTATGAGAGAAAATTTAAGAACAAATGATAATATGATAAATCCCTCTAAATTGTATTAAAACTAACTCTTCTTTGGACTCATTTTCATTAAACTATATTGGGAGTAATTTCCATTAAAATATATGTAGATTAACTTTATTTAAAAGAGCTATATTCTATGTTAATAAAGATTGTTTCCTTACAACTAGAGCAAGTCTCATTCTTATATGTGTAAATTTACTTAACAAATAATCTTTACAATCAAGTAAAAATCCGCCTCTATATCTAGTAAAATTTTTCCGCATTATATATGTATAAGCTGAACCCACCAAGCAAGCACAGAAGCCTCTCCATGTTATATATGTATATTCTAAACTAGGCTAATAATAACACTCACTGACAAAGTTCCTGGCCTACTGTCTGACCTCTAACTTTAATTGGTTGATCATAATACGAAGTCAGAAGTAATAAGAAAAAGAACATGCTGTTCTGTGAGGACAAGACTGGAACTTTCTAGTTTGGAGCACGCCGTTTACGTGTGACGCCAGTGTAAAGGCATTAGACTCAAGGCATTACCAAAAAAGGTTAGAGGTGTCTTGAACTAACTATAAATAACAGCCCCAAAACGCTGGCCTCTCACTTCTCGTTCCGTCAGCACTAGAAAGGATTCCTCTTATGTTTTACAGGAGAGAATGGTTATGTTAAAAATTTTTTAGAGAATAAGTACCTTTGAAAGTTAAAGATTTATGATTGTAACCTTTATGGTTGCAATGTTCTTGTGAGTTCGTTTTTAATTCTAATATAATATAATGTATGTGTAATTGTTTTTAAGAACTTATATTTGTATTTATGATAATGGTAAAAAGATTAAAATGGTTTTTGATTTCATGTTAGATTTAATTTGGAAATTTAAATATTCTTTAAGGAATAAAGAATAATGTTTTATAATCTATTCTAAACTAGTATTTTATCCCAAATAAAATAAAATATATTTCTTCAAGACGATTGTTTCATTAATCGCAACTATTTTATAATCTTTAATTTGATCAGGATCTATTATCTGTAACATTATTCTAAAATGCAAAAAGCTAAGAATATACGAAGTTGGTAAACTTGAAAGGAAAAGTATTATATGCATTTTGTATATTGTTCAATGTAAAGGCTTTTGTGCCTTTGGAATGTAGTACCGTATATCACCTATATGAATAAACTCACTTCCCGTAGCTTCAACACTAGAAAGGATTCCTCTTGTATTTATTACAGAATCTTTGGTACTTCCCCGCTAGCCAAGCATCCCCAAAGGAATGTAGCGGTGTTTACATTATTATGCGTGACACCTCTTTGAGAGAGTTCGTACTCTCCCATTTTCTCTCTATCTTTCCGTCTGGCCATGGAATAGAACATTGCTAAGTGTTTCCGAAATGGATCCAAATAAGTTTAATAATAAACATTTTTGTAAAATTTATTATGGGTAACTATGTATCATTCATTGTAGGTGAACCTCTCGCAAAGGACCAATTTCATATTTGTTCGTATGTATTTTGAATGCTGAGCGTGGCAGAATGGATTTCCAGATGTCATTCCGTTCACGAATTTCTGTTTTACATGAATGAGATACATATAGCAACATAAATTTGTATTGGTAGAAGAGGTTTACTTGTTGCAAACTCGAACTATCATGTGTTGTGTTATGCTTCACATAATTTTGTGCACAGCCTGATTAGAATCGTTACAAAATACAAATCCATATCGTATGAGTGTGAAACCGTCAAAATAAATCTGCTTTTTACACTGCCTGTGATGTTTGTGAACAGTTGCAAGTTGTCACTGATATTTTATTGTTTGATCATCGATTTGTTTGATTCCAGTGATTCGTTCCTGGAACAATAAAAGCGTATCGTTAGGGAAAGTATTGAAAAGATTGATAGAAGTGAAGCGTTTTTAAATTAACCAGTCTTAATTTTGCAGCATTTTCCTGAGACGAATTTAGTAAATATATTTGTGAATTTGGTAAATAAATTATATTAGTTAACTTTTTCCAAATAAAAAGCATAAAAGTGGATAATTATATTGAACATTTGCGAATACATTTGAGCTCGTCAGATTACCACCTACCCCTCTCCAGAAATGCCAACATCTTTCTTGTTTAATTATCTTTTGATGATTCAATTATCGTTAAAGTACGGGACTAAGTCAAAGCGC